CATAATTTTATTGCTTATGAATCTGCTTATCTAGAGTGGAAATTAATCACAGCTTGATTTGACTTCTTAAACTGGCCGTTATTATCCTAAAATTCAACATGCGTGATTTATGACAACTTACTTGATTGGAATAGTATGAATATTTTTATTGGTTTTTAATACAATATCACAGATTAAGATCGATTAACAGGTGAAATCTTCTGATTAAGAAAGAAATTACCAACTAAAATCTGTTTTTAAGAATAGGTGCAAATAGATGTTTAGTGTCAAGAATGTTGGTATTGATATATGGGATATGTCTTTATAACAAAATACTCACATTGTCATTTCTTGTGAATGTATTTTTTTTTCTTGAGCCTTTTTTTGTGACTTTATTCAACAACAAACTATTTTTTTTCAATATCACACAAGATTTTTTTTCAAACTGAATGTTGTATTTCTTTTCCCCCTAATTTTCAAAGGAAACCAACAATTTGATATAAAAAAACCTTGCCCCCCTCCTTTTCCACAAAAAAAATGAATTGGCATTGTATAATATGTAATCAATAATAAAATCTATGCTATTGTATTTTTATAAGACCTACTTTTGAGGCTATGAATGGGTCACCATTTATGAGGATATGAATGGGTTTACAGATAAGAGAATAACGGGCAAAAAACTAGATAAGGAGCGGGACCAAAAAATATAGATATAACAGAATAAAGAGGTAATGAAATATAAAGAATAGATTGATTGTTGGTTGCTTAATGTCCAGTGGTAAATATTTCATGCATGTTTAGGATAAATATAATAGATATCAATCGGCAGAAGAATAAAGAATAGAGTGAAATGGTAAAAAAATAAAAGATATAGAACTATAGAAACGATGATCTGACACCCCCCCCCCCTCCCCCTCCCCCACTAATTAGTATCTAGGGTCAATAATTTGACCCAATTCATTTAACTTGTTTAATAATTTTACTGATAAATATTGGCAGAGTTTTTTTGCAGTCAATATTTTGGTACAGTCTGTGATTATAAAGATTTAAAAACTTTGTCAAAAACCTCCATGGATTTTTTTTTTAAATTTGGACTGAAACTACACATTATCATTAAGAGAGAATACCCTAAGCAAAATTTAGACTTTTTTTATTTATTAACTATATTTGACTGATAAATGGACTCATTAAACTTTTGCACTGACAGCAGTAGTTGTGGGCGGGATGCTGATTCTAATGAACCCTTTGTAATCTGTTTTCAATCTATACTCAAATTTATAAAATGATAGTATCAAAAGCATAGTTTTTGTCTCACCTGCAACAAATGGTTTAAAGCTTTATATTTCAAAAGGCAGAAGACCTGGGCTCTAGGTCATAAAACTTTAATCAGTACTTGGAGTACAAAATTTGTGCTTGAAACACCCAATCCAGTATTTGGTTGGTTGAGTCTGAATAAGACAATGGTACTCGAAAGTCTTATGATCGCAATGCCCGGATGCTTCATACCTTGTGTGCAGATACCTTATGATATGAAGTTTCTGCCTGTCATATGTCCATTGTCCTTGACCTCATTTTCATGGTTCAGTGACTGCTTAAAAAAATGTGTTTTCTTGTTGTTAAGTGAAATACTAATATATGAGTAATAGGATAAATATTTGGTATATGGGAAATAACTACATGTTTGTCAGGTAGGGTTCACCTAACCTTGACCTCATTCCATGGATCAGTGATCGAGATTAAAGTTACGTGGTCAAGTCTGTATCTCAGATACTATAAGCAATAGGTCAACTAAATTTGGTATATGAAATGATTATAAGGTGTACATGTCAGACTGGCAGGTTTCATCTGACCTTGACCTCATTTCCATGGTTCATTTGACAATGTTCAGTTTTTGTGGTTTGGTCTATTTCTCAGATATTATAAGCAATAGGTCAATTACATTTAGTGTATGGAACAACTGTAAGGTGTACATGTCTGTCTGGGAGGGTTCATATGACCTTGGCCTCATTTTCATGGTTTATGGTCAATGATAAGTTTTCATAATTTTGTTAGTATCAGACACTATAAGCAATAGGTCAGCTATATTTGGTGTATGTCTGTTTGGCAAGGTTCATATGACCTTGACCTCATTTTCATGGTTCAATGGTCAATGTCAAGATTTTGTGGTTTGATGGGTTTCTCAGGTACTATTAGCAATAGGACCATTATGTATGGTGTATGGAATGATTGTAAGGTGTACATGGTTGTCTGGCATGTGTCATCGGACCATGACCTCATTTTCATAGAACATTGATTATGTTAAGTTTAGGTGATACTTGTAGTAAAACCTTTATATTACAGACTTCCAACATGAATTCAATGAGAAGTAAAACAGGCGAGACATTTCATCATGTGCACTCTTGTAATTAGTTCTAACAATATTTTGGTTTATTTGTATACACATTACTAAATTATAAATGCTTATAGATAGCTCAAATCATTTTATTTTGTCAAATTTCTAGTATATATATCTCAAATATGCTTAAAATGGACATTCTTTACAAAAAGTAAAGTTGGAAATAATCATAATGGTGAAAAAGTTTTATGTAGATTCAAATTAAATAAATACATTTGATTAAAGATGTCCTTTAGTTAGAATTCCACAATAACTTGTAAAATTTCCAATTTTGTTACAAAATTGTCTTTAAAACAAGGAATTATTTGAATTCTGGAAAATTGATAAGAAATGTATGATGAAAACTAACCAAACTAAAGAGGGTTAGCCATGTGCGCCTGGCTAAGGTTAATTTTACTTTCTCTGATATTTCAGTATGAACTGACTAACCCCCTTAGCCATGCTAGATGGCTAACCCTACTAAATTGGGTTAGTTTTGTCATAGATTTCTTATCAATTTTCCAGAATTCAAATTTTTTCCAGATTCAAATGATTCCTTGTTTTAACAACAATTAACTTAATTATGCCCTGAAAGCCATTTTGTTATATGTAAAATAATTAAAAGTGGTTTAAGTATATTGTTAATCTCGGACCAATATTATAAGATTATATACCACTCCAATTCTAGTATGCTTTAACAACTTTCAGATTTTGATCCTGTAAGTTGCTAAGGTATGGCAAGCTGTTTTGTATATTTATTCCAATTTTAAGATATCATATAAACTAGATAATATGTCTTATAAACTAATTGAGATATCTTATGATCAAATAGGATATCTTATATATTAAATGAGATCTCTTATAAATTAAAAATAGGATATCTTATATAGTAAATAACTAAAGATATCATTGTTGAGCCTTCGACTTTAGTGAGACATAGCGATCCTACACTCCGTCGGCGGCGGTGGCAGCGTCCACAAATATTCACTCTGTGGTTAAAGTTTTTGAAATTTTAATAACTTTCTTAAACTATCCTGGATTTCTACCAAACCTGGACAGAAGCTTGTATATGATCATAAGATAGTATCCAGAAGTAAATTTTGTAAAAATAAAATTCCATTTTTTCTGTACTTTACTTATAAATGGACTTAGTTTTTCTGCCGGGAAATATTACATTCACTCTGTTTTTAAAATTTTAATAACTTTCTTATACTATTTTGGATTTGTACCAAACTTGAACAGAAGCTTGTTTATGATCAAAAGCTAGTATCTAGAAGGAAATTTTGTAAAAAAATAAAAAATAAATCCATTTTTTCCGTATTTTACTTTTAAATGGAATTAGATTTTCTTCCAGGAAACAACACATTCACTCTGCCAGGAAACAACACATTCACTCTGTGGTTAAAGTTTTTAAAATTTTAATAACTTTCTTATACTATTTTGGATTTGTACCAAACTTGGACAGAAGGTTGTTTATGATCAAATGCTAGTATATAGAAGGAAATTTTTGTTTTCTTCCAGTTAACATTACATTCAGTCTGCAGTTAAAGTTAAAGTTTTTAAACATTTATTAGATTCATAAACTATCCTGGATTTTTAACAAACTTGGACAGAAGCTTCTTACAATCAAAAGATAGTATCAAGAGGAATATTTTTATTGATTTACTTCCTCATTTTTGTTGAGCCTGCGATTAACAGAAAAAGTAGGCGGAACCCTTACGAATTTTTTTATAAAGGTATCTTATTTAGTTTATTAAATATCTGTTTTAGGTTTTAAGATATCTTATTGAGTAAAAAAGATATCGTGTTTATCTTAACTGATATCTTATATATTTTTTTGTTTTAGAGATATCTTATAAACTTGTTTCTTCAGCAGTTTCTCAGAATAAAACATATATTAACTAAATAAAATATATGTTTTAAGCTAAATAAGATATCTTGTAAACTAAAAACAATATCTGATAAATTGAATAATATATCTTGCGGTGTAAATAAGAGATGCAGTATTCTTTATGTGATATCTTATTTTAATTTCAAGTTAAAAAGATATCTTAAATACTTAATTGAGATATCTCATAAAGTATACAAAATATTTCATAAAATATATAAGATATCTCAAGGTATTTGTTTAAAAAATATCTTTAAATATATGATATCTATATGTGTTTAAGTTTAACAAGATATCTTATAAAGTGTATAAGATATTTTATTAACTTCAAATTAAATAAGATATCTCATTAAGAATACAAGATAACTTTATAATAATAATATAAAAACGATTTCAAATACACAGGTACAGGGAACTCAACCTTTCCTCTTTCTCGTTGCCATTGAACGCATCAGATACCTGCCAAACCTATTGTAATGTGTATTTTTTCATAAAATATTTTTTCATTTTGTCTTAAGTTCCTATGTACATACATTTTTACCTTTTGACCTCCCCTTATTCCTCTTTTGCATTTATCTGACATTAACATTTGTATTTTGCAATTATTTTATAATCAGTTGGCATTTAATAAAGCTTCATGTTCATTTATCAATTCAAAATTGTTCAAACTAAACTTTTCATATGAAAGTTTGATTTTAGGCTGATTAAACTCCAACAAGCAGCATACTTTAAGATTATACATGTTGTTTTACTTTTCAGTATGATGAGAGAAGTTCAGAACAAGTTATTTTGTTTGAAGAGGAATCACAGCAGTCAAGACTTCATTTTGAATAAAGTAAATTGTATTAGAAGTGAAGCATTAACAGTTATGAGATATGTTATTTCAAAGACTATGTGGATGTAATCTGACTAGCATTTGTATGACCTAAATATGGCATTTCCATATGAAGACTTACAAGGCAAAGAATTGGATGTGACAAACATTTGTATGCATTTAAAGACTTGAAAAACTTGTACTGTCTTCTTCAGATTTCAGGAGAATTTGTTTAAGACAGTAAATTCTGGGTATGAAATGAAGAATTTGTGCTGAGTGACATTAAATGAATTATGAAAATATGTTTTCTACCTTGAATTTATAAAAACAACATAAAAGATAGACAAATTTGCTTTTTTTTTTCTTGACACTTATTACAGAATTAATTCTTATATAGTTACTAATTCTTGATAGATGTGCTGCAAGAAATTGCAAGTCTATTTGTTAGCCTGAAACTCAATGCATGGGTTATACACACAGAAAACTACATTTAAATCTCAGCTATATAAAAATAAGGAGATGTGGTAGGATTGCCAATGAGACAACTATCCCTAAAGGCCAACGATCTAAGATAATGAATGAATTATATAGCTTATCATGGATTTCAATACAAAAGAGAGATTACCATACTTTAAATTCAGAAATTATTGCAAGACTTTTATTAATAGCAATTATTAAACTCCATAGTTGAAAAATCGCAATAATAAATGCAAGAAATAATTTGTGAAGTTACAGTATAATATTCAAATACCATTAGGTACTTATAGTTATATGATTGATATTTTAGTCTTAGATACATGATTTTTTTTTATTAGCAACTGTGAGTACTCTCAGATCTGTACTTAGTGTCTTTTGTTGTTGTAAGGGATGAGGGTTGAGCCCTCACAAACATGTTTAACCCCGCCACATTCTTTATGTGCCTGTCCCAAGTCAGGAGCCTGTAGTTCAGTGGTTGTCATTGGTACATGTCTGTCATATTTGTTTTTTGTAAATTGTTTTTGTCTCGGCTTGACGGAGTCAAAAAGCGAAACATAGGTATGCTGTTTCCGGCGGCGTCGTCTACAATGTATTAGTTTGTGATTAGGTCTAGTTCATGGTGAACCACTAGTGGTAGGTCAATGATATTTGGTATGCAGTTGTATTAGCATTGGCACATCTCATTACCATGGAGATTATTTGGCCCTGCCCCCTCAGTCAAGGTCTATTGACTTTGAAACTTTTCATAGATTACATGTATTAGTTTGTGATTAGATCAGTTTAAGATAAACTGCTAATGTTAAGTCAATGATATTTGATATGCAAATGTATTGGCATTTGCAAGTATCGTTTCCATGGAGATTATATAGCCCCACCCCTGATCATGGTTCATTGACTTTGAAACTTTTACATAGTTTACAAGTTAATGTTTGTATTTAGGTTTGTTTAAAGGGAACGACTTATAATAAGGTATGCAGTTGTATTAGCATTGGCACATCTCATTCCATGGAGATTGTTTAGCCATGTACCTTCAGTCATGGTTCATCGACTTTGAATATTTGCATAACTTACATGTTAAAGTATTGCTATTTTAATTTCAACATTTGCATTATCAAAATTACAAAAAGGTGAGACATATCTCTGTGATAACAGTTTATGTTATAAATTAGGCCGTTAGTTTTCTCAATTTAATTGTTTCATATTTGGCATTTCCGGTCCTTTTATAGCCGACTATACAGTACGGGTTTTTCTAATTGTTGAAGGCTGTATGGTTTCCTATAATTGCTTGCATCCACTTAATTTGAACTTTGGTGGATAGTTGTCTCATTGGCAATCATACCACATCTCCTTATTTTTATAATCATTTATTGTTAAAGACATTTCAATATCTTTCTGGTTTTACTCTATTGTTGAGTTACTGTCACACACTAATGCCACATCTTCAATCCTTATGAAAACCTTCAAGAAAATCAAAACTAGACTAGCATATCTTTATAGAAAAAATATTTCACTTTTTACCACAGGAAACTTGGAATCAAGTCGTTTATGTTATTATTGCAGTAGGTTCTTCAGTACTTACATTTTATAAATTATTTTCAGTGACTGAGATAAAAAATATGATAATGTTACTTATCAGTAAGCATTGGATTCTTGTGTACATGTGTGGGAAGTTAAGCCGCTCTCTGTGTTTAGGGTTCACAGATGCTATACCTCTGCTCTGGGTATAGTAACGTCCCCTACCATACGTACCAAGTATCCGATTTTACTGGTACAAACTGAGAGTGAGGAGGCTCGGTCTGGCTGAGAGTGAGGAGGCTCGGTCAAAAACCTTTTGTACCAAGTATTCGCTATTACTGGTACAAACTGAGTTGAGGCGGCTCAGTCAGCATGTGAAGCTCTGTAACATGCTTTTATTTGTTTTTATCAAATTTTAATTGGGAATATTTTACTGTTTTTATCCAAATTTAAATTGGGAATATTTTACTGTTTTTATCCAAATTTTAATTGGGTATATTTTACTGTTTTTATCCAAATTTTAATTTGGGATGTTTTACTGTTTTTATCCAAATTTTAATTGGGGATGTTTTACTGTTTTTATAAAAAAATTTAATTGGGGATGTTTTACTGTTTTTATACAAATTTTAATTGGGGATATTTTACTGTTTTTATCCAAATTTTAATTGGGGATGTTTATTGTTTTAAAAGGGACTGGGTATTTTATTTGTTTTTATCAAATTTTACTTGGGGAATATTTTACTGTTTTTATACAAATTTTAATCGGGGATATTTTACTGTTTTTATCCAAATTTTAATTGGGGATATTTTCTGTTTTTATACAAATTTTATTTGGGGATATTTTACTGTTTTAATCCAAATTTTAATTGGGGATGTTTTACTGTTTTTATCCAAATTTTAAATGGGGCATTTTATTGTTTTAAAAAGGACTGGGTATTTTATTTGTTTTTATCAAATTTTACTTGGGGGATATTTTACTGTTTTTATACAAATTTTAATTGGGGATATTTTATTGTTTTATACAAATTTTAATTGGGGATATTTTACTGTTTTTATACAAATTTTATTTGGGGATATTTTCTGTTTTTATATAAATTTTATTTGGGGATATTTTACTGTTTTTATCCAAATTTTAATTGGGGATGTTTTACTGTTTTATTTGTTTTTATCAAATTTTACTTGGGTGATATTTTACTGTTTTTATACAAATTTTAATTGGGGATGTTTTACTGTTTTTATCCAAATTTTAAATGGGGCATTTCATTGTTTTAAAAGGGACTGGGATATTTATTTGTTTTTATACAAATTTTATTTGAGGATATTTTACTGCTTTTATCCAATTTTTTAATGGGGCATTTTATTGTTTTAAAGGGACTGGGTATTTTATTTGTTTTTATCAAATTTTACTTGGGGATATTTTACTGTTTTTATACAAATTTTAATTGGGGATATTTTACTGTTGTTATACAAATTTTAATTGGGGATATTTTACTGTTTTTATACAAATTTTAATCGGGGATATTTTACTGTTTTTATACAAATTTTATTTGGGGATATTTTACTGTTTTTATCCAGATTTAATTGGGGATATTTTACTGTTTTTATCCAAATTTTAAATGGGGCATTTTATTGTTTTAAAAAGGACTGGGTATTTTATTTGTTTTTATCATATTTTACTGTTTTTATACAAATTTTAATTGGGGATGTTTCACTGTTTTTATTCAAATTTTAAATGGGGCATTTCATTGTTTTAAAAGGGACTGGGTATTTTATTTGTTTTTATCTAATTTTACTTGGGGGATATTTTACTGTTTTTATACAAATTTTAATAGGGGATATTTTACTGTTTTTATACAAATTTTATTTGGGGATATTTTACTGTTTTTATCCAAATTTTAATTGGGGATATTTTACTGTTTTTATCCAAATTTTAAATGGAGCATTTTATTGTTTTAAAAAGGACTGGGTATTTTATTTGTTTTTATCACATTTTACTTGGGGGATATTTTACTGTTTTTATACAAATTTTAATTGGGGATGTTTTACTGTTTTTATTCAAATTTTAAATGGGGCATTTCATTGTTTTAAAAGGGACTGGGTATTTTATTTGTTTTTATCAAATTTTACTTTGGGGATATTTTACTGTTTTTATACAAATTTTAATTGGGGATATTTTACTGTTTTATCCAAATATTAATTGGGGATATTTTACTGTTTTTATCCAAATTTTAATTTGGGATATTTTACTGTTTTTACCCAAATTTTAAATGGGTCATTTTATTGTTTTAAAAAGACTGGATATTTTTTTTGTTTTTATGAAATTTTAATTGGGGATATTTTACTGTTTTTATACAAATTTTAATTGGGGATGTTTTACTGTTTTTATCCAAATTTTAAATGGGGCATTTCATTGTTTTAAAAGGGACTGGGTATTTTATTTGTTTTTATGAAATTTTAATTGGGGATATTTTACTTTTTTTATCCAAATTTTAATTGGGGATGTTTTACTGTTTTTATCCAAATTTTAAATGGGGCATTTCATTGTTTTAAAAGGGACTGGGTATTTTATTTGTTTTTATGAAATTTTAATTGGGGATATTTTACTTTTTTATCCAAATTTTAATTGGGGATGTTTTACTGTTTTTATCCAAATTTTAATTGGGGATATTTTACTGTTTTTACCCAAATTTTAAATGGGTCATTTTATTGTTTTAAAGAGACTGTGAATTTTATTTGTTTTTATGAAATTTTAATTGGGGATATTTTACTTTTTTTAACCAAATATTAGTTGTGGATGTTTTACTGTTTTTATTCAAGTTTTAAAAGGGACTGGGTATTTTATTTGTTTATATCAAATTTTAAATGGATCCTTTTACTGTTTTAACCAAATTTTAAGGCAGATTTTTTAACTGTTTTATCCAAATTTTAAGGCAGATTTTCTAACTGTTTTATCCAAACTTTAAATGGGCTATTTTACTGTTTTATCCAAATTTTAAATTACTCATTTTATTGTTTTATCAAATTTTAAATGGGCTATTTTATTGTTTTATCAAAATTCTAAAGAGGCATTTAACTGTTTTATCAAAATTTTAATTCAGGATGTTTTACCAGTTTTATATTACATTATTTATACAAAACTTTGATTGGGGAGATTTTATTGTTTAATCAACATTTTAAATATTTTTTGTAACATGCCAATGTCAAATCAGAGACTTTAAAACTGGTACTCCGAAAGGAAGAGGCAGGTGTCTTACTGTGGGCATTTGTCTTGGTGAACTAGCACCTTAAAGTCCAGATAACCCACAGGCCAGCTGGCTAGAACAAGCAGACAGGTACTTTTGTACCATTTGGAATTTTTAA